CACGTCGGGCCTCTGAGGCGTCTCCCGGCACGGAGCCAGCCCTGGCCTCCGACCCCAGCTCACCGACGGCCCCGGGCGCCGCGAGGCTCCACTCCAAGTGTTTCCCTCGTGCGGGAGCCGAGGAGCCTGGAGACGGGGCACACGTGAGCGCCAGGTAGCTCTTCCCGAAGCTTCTGCCCAGGAAACGCAAGTGGAACCACTCAGCGGGGGCTCCAACCACACAGCCGGCAGCACGGGGGGTGGGGGGCCGTGGACACGCTGCAGTGGGCTGCAGTCGAGGGCGGGGCTGGCCTCTGTCCCAGCCCCTGACCAGCCAGCTCCCCCAGGCCCAGGCGTGAGACTGCGTGTGTCAGGCCTCGGAGACACGCAGGGCACCTGGCCGCCTCACTTAGTAAGCTACGAGGATGGCGATCCCGCGGGGGCCTGGGCGCCCGGCCCCCCGTGAGGCAGCTCACGTGCTGTTTCCACCAAGAGCACGCCAGGGCACAAAGCCTGTCCGGGAGCCGGCGGGTGACCGAGGCCCAGCTGCTGCACGAGCTTCCTGAGGTGCAGCGTTTCACCCCAAAGACGTGACGGAATCCTCGGCGCAGCCGAATGCGTTTGGGCAGCAGATGGGGACAAGGGGACCCCAGCGTGGGGCAAGGGGACCCCAGCGTGGAAGTAGCCAAGGCGTCTGAGGAACGGCCGTCACCAGGCCTCGCTGCCGGCGTGCGGCATGGAGCGTCTTCTTAGCAAAGGCCAGGGGTGTGTAGGGTTCCGGGGCAGAGCGGGTCACATGGCAGACGCCCACCTGCAGTGCCATCGAGGGCCCGTCACTCCTTCCACGGGGCCTTGGGTGGCTTCTCTGCAGCCCCGGTCTCCTCCGGGCCTCTGCCACGGCTGCAACTTTCCACCCACCACTGTGCCCGCGCCCTGGTCACGCCGGGGGCGGGGAGCCCAGGCCCCTACTTCACACGGCTCACAGCCCTGAGTCCCGGGACGGCTGGCTGACCCAACAGGACACCCAGGCCCAAGGCCCTTCATCGGTGACTGGAACCAGGAGGAGCCCCGCCCAGCACCTGAGGTTTTGTGGGTGCCCCCCCACCCCGTTCACCCGGCCAGCTCCAAAGTGGCCGCGTTCCAGTGTCTCGTGAAAGCAAGCTCTCCGTGACCTGAATCTGCATTTTTTTAGCATTTCCTGATGACGAGTCCCAGCCCCCGGGCTCAGGGTAGTGTTCTGCATTGTCTGTGTTCCATGAGAACATTCTAGTGACGGCCTCGTGCCCTCAGCGGGACGGTGTGGGGCGGGGAGCAGCCTCTGTGTCACGTTGCCATGATCGTAGGTTTTCGGGTGCGTGTGTAGCTCTACACAGGACGGCACACTGTTCTTCCACGGCGTCCGGGACGTGGCTCCGTGCGGTGCACGGACCCTGCTCGTCTTAACAGTCGGGGGCTAGTCTGTTAGTCGATGCTCAGGAATGTGTTTATTGTTGACTATTAAGGGAGATTTAGGCAATTTTCAGAACTTGCCATTCCCAACGACATGGTGGACGTGAAAATAACTGTCAGTTAAATTCCCGGAAGTGAGACCCCGGGTCATCGAGTGTGCTCGCCACTTACTTCGGGAGGCTTGGCCGAGCTTTCCGCCAGCGTTGGGCTGACTGACGCGGCCACCAGCCATGCAGTGGGGCGCACCTGCGCCCCAGTTCCTCCCCGGCGGGCGTTGGCCAACCTCGGCCTCGGCCCCGCTCGGCGGGAAGTGCATTTCTGACGCCGGCTCCGGCTCACCGCTCCGGCCGAGCCGTGGGGCCGAGTACCTTCTCCAGCCCGGGAGCCGCGTCCTGTGCTTCGGGGGGCAGTTCGGACGTGCCCGCCCGGGCCACTGTGCCAGCTCCCCGAAGCCTATCCCCGAGAAGCGCCAATGGGCACAGCCCGGCCCCACGGCAAGCCTGATGGCGGCGGGAGGCTCACTGTCCCCTGTGCCAGGCCAGGCCGCCCCTGGGAGTCAGCGCTGTCACGTGGGAGGGAGGCGGCCGCATCGACTGACCTGGGTGAAGCTTCAGGAAGACCCCAAACAGCAAACAAACCTCTGAAAAGCCACACCAGGACAGTGACACGCGTGACCGAGACGGCAGGCAGGTCGCACCCCGCCCGCGTGCTTCCCGTGCATGACGGCCACACGCTGGGGTCTGGGGCGGGCGGGGTGCTGGTCCCATGTCTGAAAACAAGCCGCCCAGTGATGCCGGTGAGCCGAGTGGCCGTGGAGGGCACAGCGCCCGGCCGCTGCGGAGGCCTCGCACCCAAGGGCCTGCATGGCCCGGCCGCCTCCGCAAAGCCACAGACCCGACGACTTCGCCAGCGTCCCTGTGCCCTCCCGGGCAGGTGCACGGCCGCGCCCCGTGTCCTCGGTCGCCCCTGTGCCATCTGTGTTGTCACCTCCTCTCATGGGGACGCCAGGCACATTGGGTCAGGGCCACCCTAGTGACCTCTTGTAACCCGACCACTTCTCCGAAGACCCCGAACGCGGTCCCGGGGTCAGGACTCCAGCGTATGCACTTAGGAGACAGTGAGCGTAGGTCAAAGGCCACTGCGTGAACCACAGCAGCGTTTTCTGGAATATTCAGGCGAGCGAGAAGCCTGGTTCCCCCACGGAGCCCACAGCGGGGTGCCTCTCCCGCCTGCCCCGTGCGCTGTGGTGGCTAAACGTGGGGTGACGGCGCCAAGGGACGCCGAGCCCTGGCACCCGCTCGGCCGCCTGCACTGCCCCATGCACCCTTCAGCTGTGGCCAGAGAGCAGCTAGCAGGACAGTCACATGTCCTGCTCTTGCTGGGCACAGCTCACAGCCAGCGGCAGCCCGACCTCCCTTGTCACGGTCACTCTGGGGGGAACTGTGCCCCAGGAGGGCCCTCGGGAGAAGCAGTGGTCAGCGAGGGCCACACATCACTGGTAGCTCATGGCCGCTCCCCTGTCATGCCCGGCGGGTGCTCATCCGAGCACATGGCTGGGGGACACCCAGCGTTCCGCGTGGGGGACT